GTAGTTGACATAATAGTAGTTAACTCTTCGCCTGTCTCTTATACACATCTAGATGTGTATAAGAGACAGGGATTCTATAATGGTATCAAGCACAGTCCTTCAATGAAAAGTTCCCATTATTTAGTATAACAAATAGTATCAAACCTGCATCTTCTCGCTATCAAGGCAAGTTTAAGTTTCAAGTTTCTTTTGTCATACCCTTTAGACAACAGACACCTATTATAATACGAGCTATGCCTAATAAAATAACATCTTTTGTTCCTGTGTTTAAGTACATCTTTTTTCTAATATTTCAATTTTTTATTATGTATTTATTATATTAAATAATTAGAAGCACTGTTACGATTTTTAAGCACACAATTAAATGAAAGAAACAGTGCTCATTTACAAACATTCAAAAAGATTTCTGTTTTTAAACTTACCATACACTTCTACACTGAATGTACAGGTAGCATTGTTTCCTGCTATATCGGAATATGTGTACGTTACATTATAAAAGCCTACAGCGAGGACTACACCTGATTGGTAATTACTCGTAATAGCAAGTCTATCAAAACCTGAATTGTCTGTAACATTTGGTTCAATCCATGTCACTAGCGCCGTACTAAGGCCGATGTCTGTTCCCTGACGAATGCCTTCATCATTACAGACAACAATAAATGGTTTTTCATTATCAACTTCCTCAGTTGTTGTTTGATGAGTAGTGGATTGGTCTGCTGTTTTTATTTCTTCCGTTGTCAACTCCTTTGTTGATTGTTGTGTAGTTGATGCACCTGTAGATGAGTCTTTTATCGTTGACGCGCCTGTGGTTAACCTATCTACTGTTGTCAATTCCTCCTCGGTTGATTGTTCTGTGGTTGTTGCACTTTTAGTCGATTGATCTGTTGTCATTCAATATTTCGTTGTCGACTCATTTGAAGTTGATTGTTTTGTAGTTGACATAGTAGTAGTTAACTCTTCGCTTGTTGAATCTTCTGTTGTCGACTCTCTTGAAGTTGACTGTTGTGTAGTCGACTTGTCAATTGGCGTCAATTGGTCTGCCGTTGTTGATACTTCTGTTGATGTGGGATTTTGTGTAGTCGATGCACCTGTAGTTGATCCTTGTGTCACTGAAGCACCAGTAGTTGATCCGTCTTCTGTAGTCGAGTCCTCTGTTGTTGATTGTTTTTTAGTTGACGTAATAGTAGTTAACTCTTCGCTTGTTAAATCTTCTGTTGTAGACTCTCTTGAAGTTGATTGTTGTGTAATCGACTTGTCTGTAGAAAATTGCTGTGTGGTTGACAGTCTTCTCGTTGAATCATCTATAGATGTTGACTTAACTGTTGTCGATTGTTGTGTAGTTGAGGCAAATGTCGTTGATTGGTCTGTTGTTGTAGATTCTTCTGTTGACGGTTCTGTTGATGTAGGATTTTGTGTAGTCGATGCAACTGTAGTCGATTTTTGTGTCGTTGACGCTCCAGTAGTTGATCCGTCTCCTGTAGTCGAGTCCTCTGTTCTTGATTGTTTTGTAGTTGACGGAATAGTAGTTAACTCTTCGCTTGTTAAATCTTCTGTTGTCGACTCTCTTGAAATTGATTGTTGTGTAGTCGACTTGTCTGTAGAAAATTGCTGTGTGGTTGACAGTCTTGTCGTTGAATCATCTATAGATGTTGACTCAACTGTTGTTGATTGTTGTGTAGTTGAGGCAATTGTCGTCGATTGGTCTGCTGTTGTTGATTCCTCTTTTGATGTAGGACTTTGTGTAGTCGATGCACCTGTAGTCGATTCTTGTTTCGTTGAGGCGCTAGTAGTTGATCCGTCTCCTGTAGTCGAGTCCTCTGTTGTTGATTGTTTTGTAGTTGACATAATAGTAGTTAACTCTTCGCTTGTTAAATCTTCTGTTGTCGACTCTCTTGAAGTTGACTGTTGTGTAGTCGACTTCTCTGTAGAAAATTGCTGTGTGGTTGACAATCTTGTTGTTGAATCATCTATAGATGTTGACTCAACTGTTGTCGATTGTTGTGTAGTTGAGGCAACTGTCGTCGATTGGTCTGCTGTTGTTGATTCTTCTGTTGATGCAGGATTTCGTGTAGTCGATGCACCTGTAGTCGATTCTTGTGTCGTTGACGCTCCAGTAGTTGATCCGTCTCCTGTAGTCGAGTCCTCTGTTGTTGATTGTTTTGTAGCTGACATAATAGTAGTTAACTCTTCGCTTGTTAAATGTTCTGTTGTCGACTCTCTTGAAGTTAATTGTTGTGTAGTCGACTTGTCTGTAGAAAATTGCTGTGTGGTTGACAGTCTTGTCGTTGAATCATCTATAGATGTTGACTCAACTGTTGTCGATTGTTGTGTAGTTGAGGCAACTGTCGTCGATTGGTCTGCTGTTGTTGATTCTTCTGTTGATGAAGGATTTCGTGTAATCGATGCACCTGTAGTCGATTCTTGTGTCGTTGACGCTCCAGTAGTTGATCCGTCTCCTGTAGTCGAGTCCTCTGTTGTTGATTGTTTTGTAGTTGACGTAATAGTAGTTAACTCTTTGATTGTTAAATCTTCTATTGTCGACTCTCTTGAAGTTGATTGTTGTGTAGTCGACTTGTCTGTAGAAAATTGCTGTGTGGTTGACATTCTTCTCGTTGAATCATCTTTAGATGTTGACTCAACTGTTGTCGATTGTTGTGTAGTTGAGGCAAATGTCGTTGATTGGTCTGTTGTTGTAGATTCTTCTGTTGACGGTTCTGTTGATGTAGGATTTTGTGTAGTCGATGCAACTGTAGTCGATTTTTGTGTCGTTGACACTCCAGTAGTTGATCCGTCTCCTGTAGTCGAGTCCTCTGTTCTTGATTGTTTTGTAGTTGACGGAATAGTAGTTAACTCTTCGCTTGTTAAATCTTCTGTTGTAGACTCTCTTGAAGTTGATTGTTGTGTAGTCGACTTGTCTGTAGAAAATTGCTGTGTGGGTGACAGTCTTGTCGTTGAATCATCTATAGATGTTGACTCAACTGTTGTTGATTGTTGTGTAGTTGAGGCAATTGTCGTCGATTGGTCTGCTGTTGTTGATTCCTCTTTTGATGTAGGACTTTGTGTAGTCGATGCACCTGTAGTAGATTCTTGTGTCGTTGAGGCGCTAGTAGTTGATCCGTCTCCTGTAGTCGAGTCCTCTGTTGTTGATTGTTTTGTAGTTGACATAATAGTAGTTAACTCTTCGCTTGTTAAATCTTCTGTTGTCGACTCTCTTGAAGTTGACTGTTGTGTAGTCGACTTGTCTGTAAAAAATTGCTGTGTGGTTAACAATCTTGTCGTTGAATCATCTATAGATGTTGACTCAACTGTTGTCGATTGTTGTGTAGTGGAGGCAACTGTCGTCGATTGGTCTGCTGTTGTTGATTCTTCTGTTGATGCAGGATTTCGTGTAGTCGATGCACCTGTAGTCGATTCTTGTGTCGTTGAGGCGCCAGTAGTTGATCCGTCTTCTGTAGTCGAGTCCTCTGTTGTTGATTGCTTTGTAGTTGACATAATAGTAGTTAACTCTTCGCTTGTCAAATCTTCTGTTGTCGACTCTCTTGAAGTTGATTGTTGTGTAGTCGACTTGTCTGTTGAAAATTGCTGTGTGGTTGACAGTCTTGTCGTTGAATCATCTATAGATGTTGACTCAACTGTTGTTGATTGTTGTGAAGTTGAGGCAATTGTCGTCGATTGGTCTGCTGTTGTTGATTCCTCTGTTGATGTAGGACTTTGTGTAGTTGATGCACCTGTTGTCGATTCTTGTGTCGTTGAGGCGCCAGTAGTTGATCCGTCTCCTGTAGTCGAGTCCTCTGTTGTTGATTGTTTTGTAGTTGACATAATAGTAGTTAACACTTCGCTTGTCAAATCTTCTGTTGTCGACATTATTGATGTTGATTGTTGTGTAGTCGACTTGTCTGTTGAAAATTGCTGTGAGGTTGACAGTCTTGTCGTTGAATCATCTATAGATGTTGACTCAACTGTTGTTGATTGTTGTGTAGTTGAGGAAATTGTCGTTGATTGGTCTGCCGTTGTTGATTCGTTTGCTGATGTGGGATTTTGTGTAGTCGATGCACCTGTAGTTGATTCTTGTGTCGTTGAGGCGCCAGTAGTTGATCCGTCTCCTGTAGTCGAGTCCTCTGTTGTTGATTGTTTTGTAGTTGACATAATAGTAGTTAACTCTTCGCTTGTTAAATCTTCTGTTGTCGACTCTCTTGAAGTTGATTGTTGTGTAGTCGACTTGTCTGTAGAAAATTGCTGTGTGGTTGATAGTCTTGTCGTTGAATCATCTATAGATGTTGACTCAACTGTTGTTGATTGTTGTGTAGTTGAAGAAATTGTCGTCGATTGGTCTGCCGTTGTTGATTCTTCTGTTGATGTGGGATTTTGTGTAGTCGATGCACCTGTAGTCGATTCTTGTGTCGTTGAGGCGCCAGTAGTTGATCCGTCTCCTGTAGTCGAGTCCAGTAGTTGATCCGTCTTCTGTAGTCGAGTCCTCTGTTGTTGATTGTTTTGTAGTTGACGTAATAGTAGTTAACTCTTCGCTTGTTAAATCTTCTGTTGTCGACTCCCTTGAAGTTGATTGTTGTGTAGTCGACTTGTCTGTAGAAAATTGCTGTGTGGTTGACAGTCTTGTCATTAAATCATCTATAGATGTTGACTCAACTGTTGTTGATTGTTGTGTAGTTGAGGAAATTGTCGTTGATTGGTCTGCCGTTGTTGATTCTTCTGTTGATGTGGGATTTTTTGTAGTCGATGCACCTGTAGTCGATTCTTGTGTCGTTGAGGCGCCAGTAGTTGATCCGTCTTCTGTAGTCGTGTCCTCTGTTGTTGATTGTTTTGTAGTTGACGTAATAGTAGTTAACTCTTCGCTTGTTAAATCTTCTGTTGTCGACTCCCTTGAAGTTGATTGTTGTGATTGTTGTGGAGTCGACTTGTCTGTAGAAAATAGCTGTGTGGTTGACAGTCTTGTCGTTAAATCATCTATAGATGTTGACTGAACTGTTGTCGATTGTTGTGTAGTTGAGGGAACTGTCGTCGATTGGTCGTCTGTTGTTGATTCTTCTGTTGACGGTTCTGTTGATGAAGGATTTTGTGTAGTCGATGCACCTGTAGTCGATTCTTGTATCGTTGAGGCGCCAGTAGTTGATCCGTCTCCTGTAGTCGAGTCCTCTGTTGTTGATTGTTTTGTAGTTGACATAATAGTAGTTAATTCATCGCTTGTTAAATCTTCTGTTGTCAACTCCCTTGAAGTTAATTGTTGTGTAGTCGACTTGTCTGTAGAAAATTGCTGTGTGGTTGACAGTCTTGTCGTTGAATCATCTATAGATGTTGACTCAACTGTTGTTGATTGTTGTGTAGTTGAGGCAATTGTCGTCGATTGGTCTGCAGTTGTTGATTCCTCTGTTGATGTAGGAATTTGTCTAGTCGATACACCTGTAGTCGATTCTTGTGTCGTTGAGGCGCCAGTAGTTGATCCGTCTCCTGTAGTCGAGTCCTCTGTTGTTGATTGCTTTGTAGTTGACATAATAGTAGTTAACTCTTCGCTTGTCAAATCTTCTGTTGTCGACTCTCTTGAAGTTGATTGTTGTGTAGTCGACTTGTCTGTTGAAAATTGCTCTGTGGTTGATAGTCTTGTCGTTGCATCATCTATAGATGTTGACTCAACTGTTGTTGATTGTTGTGTAGTTGAGGGAACTGTCGTCGATTGGTCGTCTGTTGTTGATTCTTCTGTTGACGGTTCTGTTGATGTAGGATTTTGTGTAGTCGATGCACCTGTAGTCGATTCTTGTGTCGTTGAGGCGCCAGTAGTTGATCCGTCTCCTGTAGTCAAGTCCTCTGTTGTTGATTGTTTTGTAGTTGACATAATAGTAGTTAACTCATCGCTTGTCAAATCTTCTGTTGTCGACTCTCTTGAAGTTAATTGTTGTGTAGTCGACTTGTCTGTAGAAAATTGCTGTGTGGTTGACAGTCTTGTCGTTGAATCATCTATAGATGTTGACTCAACTGTTGTTGATTGTTGTGTAGTTGAGGCAATTGTCGTCGATTGGTCTGCAGTTGTTGATTCCTCTGTTGATGTAGGACTTTGTGTAGTCGATGCTCCTGTAGTCGATTCTTGTGTCGTTGAGGCGCCAGTAGTTGATCCGTCTCCGATAGTCGAGTCCTCTGTTGTTGATTGCTTTGTAGTTGACATAATAGTAGTTAACTCTTCGCTTGTCAAATCTTCTGTTGTCGACTCTCTTGAAGTTGATTGTTGTGTAGTCGACTTGTCTGTTGAAAATTGCTGTGTGGTTGACAGTCTTGTCGTTGAATCATCTATAGATGTTGACTCAACTGTTGTTGATTGTTGTGTAGTTGAGGCAATTTTCGTCGATTGGTCTGCTGTTGTTGATTCTTCTGTTGATGTAGGACTTTGTGTAGTCGATGCACCTGTAGTCGATTCTTGTGTCGTTGAGGCGCC